AGAAATTAAATCCTGTTTGTCATCTCTAACTCCAAACTAAATATCCTTTTTCCTTTATACATTGAAATTTGTACGGTGGTTTTCCAAAAAAAAATAAAAATAACTGCTGATTTTTCGAAAAAATGTAGTATTTCAAGAAATTTCGTTTTTCAATACAAATCTATTTTAGATAAATCCCTTATGATCAAAAAGTAGAGTACCTAAACTTTTTTACCCTTGTTAAATTCAAATTTGGGCAAGTAACTCTTCATTCAATTCCAAATCAATATAGATTTTTATTTATGTTTTCACAAGAAGTAAAAAATGTAAAAGTTTATTATCTTTGGTATTTTTATTTTCTCTAGTTTATTAATCAACAATTCGCATTCAATTTTTAATATTCAGATAAGAGTTAATACTATTTTTGGTGTCGATTACTGGAAATTAGAAAAAAAAAAAATCCCGAAATTGTAGTGAAAGACATATATAATTATGTAAAATAAAAATATTACAAACCTTAAATTTGTAATTTTCAAATGAAGTAAATACTAATCAAAGATTCAATAGAATTATTTTTTATTTTTAAATGCAATTCCACGTTGAACTCTGTATTTAATTTATTTTCAAGATAATATTTAAATAATGATCAAGATCAAAATTAATTATTTTGTTATAAATTATAAAATCAAAAAAATAAAAACAAACGAAACACTTAGATTCACTGTTTTATAAAAAAAGAAAAATGAATTTTTTGTTCTATAATGAAGATTTTTTGAAAAATAAAAATAAATTCCATGTTTCTTTTTTTAATTTTATTCCCTAAAAGAAAATAATAAAACCAAAAAAAAAAATGAAAAAATCATAATATTTCATTGTATTGAAACTACTTATAAAATACCTCACATAAAGTAATTTCATTTTTTTTTATTGATTTAGGTATTATTGAATTTAATATAATATTACTTTAATTTTTTATTTGTTCTTTAAAAAGAAAGTTAAGATTGAAAAAAAAGTGAAAATGATCTCAAAAATATCATAAATGTATATCCGTACCATGTTAATGTCAACTATTTCACAGTCAAAGGAACCCGGTCACAATGAATGGATTCCATGTCTTTAAATGGTTTGGGAAGAAAAATAGTTTAAATAGCAAATATTTAATATTTAAAATGATTGATAAACGATTTGAAAAATAGCAATTAAACTTAAAATACTGTCCAAAATGATAAAATACTCTCTTGACAATTAAAAAAAATATATTTAAATTTTTAAATTTGTTCAACAAATCTCTACCAATATCTATCGATACATATACGAAAATTACATACTTCATTTTTTGTTTCACTATTTTTCAAACATTTTTTTTTTTTTAAATTTCTAATAAATCCTTTTTCATTTTCTATTTATTTATTTTAAATTAATTAGATTCCTCAATGAGCATTTTACATAAATCAATTGTCCTATCTAACGAGCTATATCTTTTTGCAAACAATTTTGTTTTTGATATACTCTTTATCAATATTCAATTTAATCTTTCATTCATTCGAAACTTGCCGAATTGGTCAAAAATTAAAGATACAAATAATGTTATTTCACTTCCAACTTTTAGTTTTGATCCTTTACATTATATCTCAGAAGTGGGTGATCATATATTAAATATACCAAAATTGTTACAGTCCTTTCTTACACAAGGAGAAGAAAACGAAAAAAAAAATGAAATGGAATTTATCTCAATTTATTTAAACCAAATTTCCAAACAAACTATGGGATTATATGTAGAAGAAATATTATCAATTTCGTTTTTATCTCAACTAGGCTCAAAGCAATTAGATGCAGATATAACCTATTTAATTAATATTTTTAATTACCTAATGGTTCCAATCGAAAAAGAAATTTTAATAATCCATGAATTAATAAAACTAAATCAAAACAATTATAATAATGAATCCAATAAAATACTAACAAGAGAAGGCAATTTAAATAATATTCAAGCATTAATCCCAAAAATTAAAAAAATTAAAAAATATTAATCTTTTGAAGATTGAAATAGCATTTATCATTCTCAATCAAGTCTTTTAAATTCTTAAAATTAAAATCTAATTTTATCAAAGTTTTAATATTGTTTTTTTTTTTTTTTTTTTTTTCTCAAAATATTTAATTAATCACATCACTATCATGAAAAAATAAAATTGAAAAAAAAAAAGTTAAACAATCTACAACTTCAATTATCATTTCATCCTTGTTAATTGAGTCTATTCACAATATAATCAACATTCCAGTTCTCAAAAATCTTGTGGCTGTTGTATTTATTGTTGTTGATAGTACTTTATTTTTAAAAGTCTTGAGTCAAGAAAAAAGGTTTGTTTCGGGGTAAAAAATTTTAAATGAATGTAAAAATGAATTTTCTTTAAATACAACTTTAGGATATTTTTTTGAAGAGATAATAACTAATAGTTTTGAAAACATTCTTATCAACTAAAAAAAATCAAATAAGGGAAATAAATTCATGATGATAAATATTCTGTTCCTCGAGTGCATAGCTTTTTTGTATATTTCAAAAATTAAAAAAACCTAACAATACTTTAAAAAAAAACAAAAACTCAAGAAAAGCTAACGGCTGTTTTCCAGAATTCAAAAGAATGGAGTAAAATCTAAGATTTTACTCTGTTCTTTTGAATTCTGAAAAATCCAACAAAAGTGTCTGAGAGTGTTGTCAAGTGCCTCAGTTTTTTTTAATTTGAGATAAGAAAAGAAAATTAAATTAATTGTCGGTTTATTTCAAAAATTAAAAAAAAAACATAATGGAACTTTTCTTGAGGTTTTCTGGTTTATTTGTAAATTATTCTAGTTTTTTTTCGGTTTTCTATTTAATAACGAAAATCTATTGATTTTCGTTAGGTTTTTTTTACCCTTTAAAAGAAACCGAAAATTTATTAAAATTTTCTGTTTATTTCAAAAATTAAAAAAAACCTAGAACACTTCAAAAATAAACAGAAAATTCAAGAAAAGTTAACGGTGTCTTTCCAGAATTTAAGAGAATTGAGTAAAATATCTTTGATTTTTCTGCATTCTTTTGAACTCTGGAAAATTTAATTCTGTTTTTATTTATTTTTTGAAATAAAACAAAAATTTCTCAAATTTTGGATTGATTTCAATCATTAAAAAAAAACCTCATGTGAAGTGTCCGTCAAGTACCGTAGAATGCCTAGGTTGTCTTGAGGTTTTCTGTTTTATAAGTAAAATCTATTGATTTTCATTAGATATTTTTTACTTTTCGAAATAAAGAGAAAATTTATTAAAATTTTCGGTTTATTTCAAAAATTAAAAAAAACCTAGAACACCTTTCAAATAAACAGAAAACTCAAGAAAATCTAACCACAGTTTTTTTCACTTTTTGGAATAAACCGAAAATTTATTAAAATTTTCAGTTTTTTCCCAAAATTTAAAAAAAACCTAACGGAAAAATCAAAAATAATATTACTTCCAATTTAAAACAGAACAAATTATTCTTTAAAAGTCCAAATAGTTGATTCCTTATTTGAAAGGCCTTCACCAAATTTACAATACTTTTTAAATCATATCATAAAATGACCTCTTAGCTTATTAGAAAAAAAAAATTTTCAAATTTTTTTACTATTAAAATTGAAAAAAATCTTAATAGAACCTAGAAATATGGATTTTTCAACTTTAATTGTCAAATATCTTGAAAAATACTTTTTGATCAAGTATATTTTATTAACCAAGTGTGTTCATTATAATTGAAGTTATTAAAAGGTAAAAAATTAGCAAATATTTGAATTTTTAAAAAAAAAATTTTCAGGATCTTGATTCGCAAAAAGTGATTTCTTCATATCTTAACTTTTTTACTGAATTTGTCATTTTTACAATAACTATACAACTCCCCCCCCTGAGTAGGTTTCTTGTTAATGAATATAGGGTTTATAAGAGCAAAAAAAACAATTTGATTTACAGTCAGTTTCACCTTTAAGGCACAAACTTTCAACGAAATTTAAGTTACAATAAAAAAACTCAAATTAAGGCACAAAATTCAAATTCTAGTAAAAATAAATTGTAAAAAATAAAATTCCAAATTTTGTGCCTTAATTTGAGATTTTTTTTGTGCCTTAAATTTCGGTTGAAAGTTTGTGCCTTAAAAGTGAAACTGACTGTAATAATAGAATAAAAATGTTTGTTTTCAGAAAAAGAAATTCAAAAATCGAAAATAATTTTCAAAAATAAAAAAAAAAAACTCAACATTTTTATTTTTTCTTCAAATTGTTTTTTTTACTCTTAGAAACCACATATCCATTAACATAAAAATCTCCGTTGGAGAGCAGAGGAAAAGTTTTATCGTTATTGTAAAAATGACAAATTCAGTAAAAAAACTTAAAATATTAAGGACTACGTTCACACCCTTGGGGAGGTTGAGTAATTTTTTTATTTCACCTTCTCTTCTCAAAAAAAAATTGTCACAAGGCAGAAGTTGGACAAAAAGAAAAAAAAAAAACATTTTTTGTATCTTTACCTTCACAGGCAGACTAATTTTCTAGGTTTTTCAATGAAAAGAAAAATTTAAAATAACAAAAAAAAAATAATTGCAAAAAATCACTTTTGGGGTTTTTCAAGTGCAAGTTCAAATTTGAGAACATTTCAAAACTTGTAAAAGTAAATGTAAAAAATATGTAGAAGGTCTGGAGAAAATAGTGTGAGTTCAGAAAGTTGAACTGGAAATTCTAAAATATTAAAATCAAAATTTTGGATGATCTTTTATGGTAAAAATTGTGAAAAATGTTGAAATTGTGAAAATTTCTCATTTTTTCTAAAAGAAATTCTCATTGTGTAAATATTACTTGGATTACATAACTTATTCGAGAGTGTTTTGGGATATTATTCCACTGTATTCACCTAAAAATGTAATCCTTAATACATGATTCTTTTATACAATTTAGATTAAAGAAAATTCTTTCTGGATAAATTAAATTAAAAATTTGTTTTTGATTTTATCGGATGGTAAAAAAAAAATACACTTTAGGGAATCGAACCCAAGCCGTTGGTTTCAACAGTAGACCAACATTCTTCCATTAAAATATAGTGTATATTTTCATAACTTTATAAAAACATAAAAAATGAATTTATTTAGTCACATCTTAACCCTAATAGAATTTTTTTTTCTTTCTTCCTTTTTTTTATTCAAATTTATGATGAAGTTCAAAAGTCTGATTAAAAAAATTTTCCAACTCAAAAATAAGGAAATCATTATAAAACGTTGAATTACAACCTCAATTTCTCTTCTCCAATGGTTACCCATCAAATTAGAACCACACATTGATTAATTGTTTTCTTCAAAACTTTTTAATAAAAAAAAAAAAAAAAGAAACACTAAATTGAAAAACAATAAAATGTTTTTAAGATGAAATCAGTTTTAAATCAAGTACCAATAAGGCATTTGATTATGTATAAAAAAATATCATGATTTTCAATAAGATCAGGATTTAAGGTTTACATTATCAGGTGAAACAGTGGAATAATATCCAAAGACACTCTCGAATAAGTTATGTAATCCAAGTAATATTTACACAATGAGAATTTCTTTTAGAAAAAATGAGAAATTTTCACAATTTCAACATTTTTCACAATTTTTACCATAAAAGATCATCCAAAATTTTGATTTTAATATTTTAGAATTTCCAGTTCAACTTTCTGAACTCACACTATTTTCTCCAGACCTTCTACATATTTTTTACATTTACTTTTACAAGTTTTGAAATGTTCTCAAATTTGAACTTGCACTTGAAAAACCCCAAAAGTAATTTTTTTGCAATTATTTTTTTTTTGTTATTCTAAATTTCCTTTTCGTTGAAAAAGAAAAGAAAAAAAGTACGCCTGTTAAGTATAGAGGACAAAAAATGTTTTTATTTTCTTTCTACAGTGATCAAAATAATACTGCACAAAGATTATAATTAATGTTTCAAAATATAACATCCGTGCTTGTTTTTTCTTCTTGTTACAAGACAACACCCAATACTATACCTAAGTTTTACAAAAGTTCAAATCAGTTTTAAAAGTAAACCCCTTGATATTTTTTGTAAAATTTAAATTAGGAATACAAATAGTTGAAAATGTTTCATAATAATCTCAATTTTTTTTGTCATTGTTTTTTTTATGATTAAAATTCTCTGAAACATTAACTCTATTTTTTTTCATAAATTTTGCAATTTGATCCTTTCATTTTTCAAATTTCTTTTTATATAATACATCTTTAAGAAACCAACCCCATATTTATTTCGGGTTTATTATCAGCTTCTTGATATTTTGATTTATCGGTCTTCTATAACAAAAAAACACACTTTTTTTTTGAAACATGGAATAATATTTTCTACAGACTTTATTTTGACAATAGTCAAACCAAAATCAAAAAAGTTATTTGGTTTTTGGAATTTTTTTAAATAACGAAAGAGAATTCATTCAATTTCGAACCTTTAAGAGAAAATTGATGGACTTTTTTCTTTGTTGTCTATTGAACAAACAATTGGGTGACTTGAGAAAATTAATTTTCCAGTGTCGTAAATCCTTGATCACAGCAATCTTTATGGATTTATGATAGTAATAGTATTATAAAAAAATTTTGTTAAACTCTTCTAAAATAACTTTTAATAACATTTTGAAAGTCAGAATATATCCATAAAACACTTTTTATTTTACCCAAATAGAATTCCAAAAAAGAAGATCAGAAAATTCTCAAACTTTGCTGAATAATAAGTAATTCCCAAAATCTTTCCACAGTGGCTACAATACTGACACTAAACTTTTCAAAGTTCTAATCTCGATCTTATTGGTAGTACTGAAAATTATTATACTGTTTTTTCTCAAAGAAAAAGTTTGAGTTAAAAATAAATATCTGGCTTTCGTGTCCATATTTATCAAGAATTATTGACTTAAATTTTCACTTATTGAAAGTTGTACCTGATTCGTCTTAAAAAGATTAAAAAAACTTCACTTCTTTTTTTTATAAATGAATTAAACAAACAATTATAAATTCTCCTTAAATGTGTTTTTGGTTTTTCAAAAAAGTACCCTCTTCAACAAAAAATATTGATTGTCCTCCTAACTTAGTGTAAACAACAAACCAAATTGGTATTAGAATTGATTCTAAACGAATTTTTAAGACAACACTTAAAAGGAAAAATATTATAAACCTATCCCTATCAATCAATTATATGAAAAAAGTCACTGGGAAAATGATTACTTGTTGTTCAAAATTTTGGAGAACAAAACTGTTTAAAATAATCATAATAAGACAATTTCCAATCCAAGAAAAACTATTTTTTGAACAGAATACTGAGACAAGTCCTCAAAGGAACTTCCATTAGCATTCGAAAGTGAGTTAAAATTTTTAAAAAATCGTTTACATTTGAATACCTCAAACAAAAAAAAGTTTTTATTTTTTTAACTTTTGTCATTTTTTGAGTAATTTTGGCTGCAAAATGATTGGTAAGTAATCTTCTCTTTAAACTCGTCTTTCGACAAATTCAATTCCTCTTACATAAACTTAAATCTTCCGAAAAAACAAACAATAGAACCACAGTACAAAGGCAGTGTTGGAGTTAGCTATGTCTCGTCTGATGAAGAAGAAAAAGAAAATGATCAAAAATCAAAACAGCCAATTTATGATTATTCACGCACCAAATTTAAAGAAGAATTTTTCATACCAAAAACAGATAATGATTCTTTAACAGAAATGTTTGTGGTCTCAACAAAAAATATTGAAGAATACTTGGAAGGCTTTTTCTATGTTTCGACAGATTGTCTTGACGATGAAGAGAAGGTTTTTTCAAAGGATCTTGATCAAATAATAAAAGAAAAAAAAATTGAAGAAAAAAAAATTGAAAAAGAAAAAGAAAAAGAAAAAGAAAAAGAAAAAGAAAAAGAAAAAGAAATTGAAATTGAAATTGAAATTGAAATTGAAGAAAAAAAAGAAACGAAAGAAGAAGAAAAAAAGAAAAAAAAAAAAAAAAAGTATTTCTTTAAAATTAAATTCAGAGTCCAGTTCTTTTTCTGAAAACGAAATTCAAAAAGAAAAAAATAAATTAACACTCATATCAAATAGTGAAAGTGATACTAGTGGTACCTCGGCGGATGAAAATCTCCAAGAAGAAGAAACCAAAGATGTCAAAAAATCCAATGTCGAAAATCAAAGGGATCAAAGGATTGAAGAATTGTCCGAGCAAGAAGAATATGTTCAAGACTTTGAAATAGATTCTGGATCTGAAAACGAATTAAAAAAAGATAAGGATACAGAAAACATCTTTGAAAAAGAGACTGAAAATTATTTTGAAGAAGATTATTTTAAAATCAAAACACACCATTTTATATTTTTTTACCAGTCAAGGTCAACAAGACATCATGAATTATATCAAAAGATGTGTAGTATTAAACAAGACGACTTTTATTGGTTTGTCGAAAACTATTTTGGAAATGTTGAAAAAATTCGAGAGTTAAATTCACAAGTTCAACAGGTAGTCGAAAATTTAAGAAAGCAAAGAGAAAAGATCTGGTATGAAACCACTGAAGCAAAAGTGTTCACTAATAAATGCCCAGTTGATAACAAGATACTAAAATATACAGAAACAGTAAAAACTATGGTATTTGACAAAAAGATTCAAGCAAACATACGGAGCAAAATTAACAGTCAGTTATATAACTTATGTAATGAAAAGTTGGCAATATTAGGCGACGAGCAATGCAGAAGTGAACAAAAATGTGAAATCTTCTTAAACAAATTCTTACAAGATTTGAAAAGGATATATAATCTTTTAAACAAAAGAAGTTATCACAGCCAAAATGAAAATCAAAATCAAAATAAAAATAAAAATGAAAATGAAAATGACAATTATTTGGCAAAGATCATTTCGAAAAAAGAAAAGAATCTAAAACTTTTAAAAAAATATATTAAAACGTGTTTTTACTTTGAAAGATCTATTGTTTGTAATTTTCAGAATATTTTAATTGAACCAAAAAATAAATTCCTTGAAGGGTTTCAAATATTTCGAAATAGTTTACATAAATGGATTTTATCAATGTGTAAAATTTTAATGAATGTATTACCAATGCCTGAAACCCAAATGTTTTTAGCGATGAATCTTGTGAACAGCCCACTTAGCAGTGAATGGGGAATGAACTTACTACGGTTTCCAAAGATTATCAACAACAGGACTGTCAATTTCTATTTAGAATATTTAAAAATTTTGGTTACCCCGATACTTCATTGGAAACCAGGGCCAATTAAGGCGTCATGTGGAAACATTCGGCAATTTGTCTTTTTTGAAAGTGACTTTGTAAAATTTTTCGAATTATTTCCAAAAAATCAATTGTTCAAAGCACTGTTTCCAACGAATCATCAAAAAATGCAGTTTTCAATTAAGCAATTATCTGTCATCGTTCAACAGATTATTGAAATATGTGGAATTGTTATTACACGATTTACCTTATATAAGGATTTTAAAGAAAAGGCTGCTTCTTTCATTATTGAAATAGGAAATTTATTTATTCAATATTTAGCAAGTATCCCAAAAAAACATTTAAAAATTGAGAATGAGAAAATAATTGATGTTGAAGTAATCATCGATTCAATAACTATTACCATTTGCTTGATATTAATGCACAGAAGAGAGATCCCGATTGTTGGAAAGCTCGCAAATTTATGCTATGAACTATTAACACCAAAAAATTGTTATCACTTGATGTATTGCATTTTAAGTTTAAAAAAATACGATCCAATAAATATTGACGAATTGTCAAATAAATTGCACAAATATCATCGTCCTAATCATAATAAGAACAATAATGAACAATTCTATGGTTCATATGATGAGTGGGAAGCGTATCATTTTAATAATCCAAATGTTAGAAAAAAATTTGTTACTTATTTGAAATCTTACCAATCACCGAGTTTAATATTGATACCAATTTTTTTAAATATAGGAACTCAACAAGAAGATTACGAATTACAACAAATGGTAATCACAGAGGTTTTTTATTTGACATTCAATAAATATCTGATACAAGATATTTTCCAAAAATCTATCAACTTTTTCCA